CGTCTTCTACTGTCCTCACTCCTCCCCTCCTGTATCCACCGCCTGACCTGTCACAGCCGACGTTACAGCCGGCCTCTCTACTGCCTGCTCCTTCTCCTTACACTGAGCAGTTTGGCGGTCTTACAGTGCGTCTCATCCTGTCTCGCCTGTTTGCACTGCTAGTCGCGTTCCGTGTTCGCGTCCTCCTCCTGTCTCCGGCACGCACGCTATGACACTTCGTCCTTCCTCTGTTCCTCTGCGTGTTCCTCTGCCTGCTCCTCCTGAGTCCTCTCTTCCTGAAGTCCCTGTCCCTGAGTCTGACCGCGCTCGTGCTGCCAGTCCCACTGTCTCTCGTCTCCTCGCTACTGCTGTCACTGACCCTTCTTTTGAGTCTGCTGCTGCGTCTGCTCTCGTTGCTGAGCTGTTTGATTTTGCTGCTGCCTGCCGTCTAGACTATGCCTCTGGTCTTGTTTCTGAGTTTGCGTCTGCCAGTCCTCCGTCCGTCGCGGGTGAGTGTGCTCTTGGCACAGACGTCCTTGAGGACAGGCAGGAGGACTTTGAGTGTCTTGCAGCTGCTGTACCTCGTTTCGCTTCCATGCTGCTTGCCCCTGAGGGAGACTCGGATGCTCCAGACATCCCGACCACGCGCTCTTACGCAGAGGCGATTACGGGTCCTTACTCCTCTCAGTGGCACGCAGCCATGGATGCCGAGATGGCATCCTGGAAGTCCACAGGCACCTATGTCAACGAGGTTCCCCCACCTGGGGCGAACATAGTCGATGGCATGTGGATTTTCAGGGTGAAGCGGCCGCCGGGTTCTCCACCTGCCTTCAAGGCGCGTTACGTTGCTTGAGGCTTCAATCAGCGACAGGGGGTTGACTACTTCCAGAACTTTTCCCCCACCCCGAAGATGACTACTCTTCGGGTGTTGCTGCACGTCGCTGCTCAGCGTGACTACGAGTTGCACTCTCTGAACTTCAGCACAACTTTCCTGCAGGGCAGCTTGCACGAGGAGATCTGGCTGCGCCGCCCACCTGGCTTCACTGGGTCGTTTCCTGCAGGTACCTAGTGGAGCCTCCGGCGGCCAATCTACGGCCTCTGTCAGGCGCCTCGTGAGTGGCACGATACACTGAGGACTACACTTGCAGCTCTTGGGTTTGCTCCTTCTACTACTGACCCGTCGCTGTTTCTACGCACCGACACCTCGCTGCCGCCATTCTACGTCCTCGTGTACGTCGACGACCTCGTCTTTGCCACTGCTAACACTGAGGCACTGACCCTTGTGAAGTTGGAGCTGCAGAAGAGACACACCTGCACTGACCTGGGTGAACTGCGCAACTATCTTGGCTTGCAGATCACCCGGGACAGAGCACGGCGCACCATCACCCTGACTCAGTCACACATGGTGCACCAGGTCCTTCAGCGCTTCGGCTTCCAGTTCTCCTCGCCACAGCCCACTCCTCTGTCTACCAGCCACTTGCTCTCAGCTCCACCTTCGGAAGAGTCCGTAGAGCCGAGTGGTCCGTACCCAGAGCTTGTGGGTTTCCTCATGTACCTGATGACGTACACACGACCTGACCTCGCGTACCCTCTCAGCCTTCTGGCTCGCTACGTGGCTCCTGGTAGGCACCGAAAGGTGCACTGGGATGCTGCGAAGAGGGTACTGCGCTACTTGTGCGGTACGTCAGGCATGGGGCTCGTGCTTGGAGGACGGGGTCCAGTTGTCCTCACCGGTCACGCAGACGCTTCCTGGGTTGACGACTCAGCTACGCAGCGGTCGTCACAGGGTTACACCTTCAGCCTCGGTTCCGGCTCTATTTCATGGCGGTCTACCCGCTCATCTTCGGTTCTCAGCTCCAGTTGTGAGGCTGAGATCTACGCCGGGGCCATGGCTGCACAGGAGCTACGCTGGCTCACCTACCTGCTGGCTGACTTGGGAGAGCAGCCTCGTTCGCCTCCAGTTCTGTACGTAGACAACAAGGCCATGATTGCCGGGGCAGGACAGGGTCGGTGCAGGACAGGGTCGGGGCCGCGACGGGGCCGCGACGGGGCCGGGACAGGGTCGGGGCCGAGTAGGGGGGGCCGCGTAGGGGGGGTCGCGTAGGGGGCCGCGTAAGGGGCCGCGTAAGGGGCCGCGACGGGGCCGGGACAGGGTCGGGGCCGCGTAAGGGGGGGCCGCGTAGGGGGGCCGCGTAGGGGGCCGCGTAAGGGGCCGCGTAAGGGGCCGCGTAAGGGGAGGGCAGGCCGCGTAAGGGGCCGCAAAGGGCAGGGCAGGCCGCTAAGGGGCCGCGAAAGACTAGGGCAGGGCGCAAAGCGCGCTTCGGGCAGAAAAAACAAAATAAGGTGGGCCCATAGGAAGGAACAGTTCCACTAGGGAACCCGCTCTATACCATGTGAAACAATAGGAATGAATGACTAGGAAATGAGTTGGGTACAAATAGGAAACCCTAACAAACTGTACCCCATAGTGTCTACCCCACTACAGCCTAAACAGGCTATATGATTAATGTTTGACAGAACCATCTGAACCAACGGTTCCAGCAACGGCAGGTAAACGAATCCGAATTTCATAGACTACTTACGCCCAGAAAGGAGTGTCGCTAACCTTGTCTTCTGTGCTGTCTGAACAGATCGACGTCACGCTCGTGTCTCATCTCGTGGACCAGACACGAATGCGCATGAAGAACCGGTACTTCAACTTTTCGCCAAATCATCACTTTGGGAGTGGAGAGAAGATGACACTGAACGACTTCATTCAGCGCCATCAGAAGATGGACAAGCGGGAGGTGAAGGCAGAGGGCGTGGACAGTGACGGCAACCCCGTGAAATTCAGCTACACGCTGCACGAGAATCACATCGAAGGGCAGGAGCCGGACGGAGATTTAACGGCTTGTTTCGAGCTGTCGCTGAAGTTTGTGCGTGCTGTCGACAAGGAGCTGGAGTGGCGGATGAAGGACCTGGAGGAGCTGGAGGGGTGTAAGCTATTTCGGTCAGCCTCATACGTACCTGACGACGCCAAACGTGTGGAAAACTTCAAAAAATGGCTGGCTAAACTGCACAAGCTCTACAGGAAGAAGCTTCCAGGTATGCTCGTAGACCTCATGGTGTGTACCTGACTGTTGTTTTCCCGAACCCTTCAGCGTTGTTTTCCCATCTGCTTCTGCTTTATTCTGTCGTAACGATCGGCACACTCTCATATCTTCTCGTCTGGTCGCTTGTGTATCTCCTGGATTGTTTTGTTTAATCCTCCCCCTTCCACCCGATTGCTGCGAGTATAGCCCCGTTTAAACCCGTACCCGTACCGTACAACAGGATTCGACTACACCAGAGCACAGAGCGAGCTCTGGATGTTCACCTCAACAATGTACTCTCAACACAACAACGAAGACTTTCACCAGGCACTCGGGAACATGCTTCGTGACAACGACTGGTAGCACTCGTTCCCGAACTTGATGAAGATGTGGCAGGCAGTAGCCGTCCTACCGCTGAGCACGGTCGAGTGCGAGAGGGGGTTCAGCAAGCAGAATTTGATCAAGACGTGGGACCGTGGCAGCATTTCGGACATCACCCTGGAGCATTTGATGCGCTGTTCCCTGCTGCAGTATGACATGGACTGGTACGAGGTGGTGTCCATCTTCAGGGGAGAGAGGCTGCGGAGATCGACTAAGGACTTCAGTGGCACAAACCCGGGCGAGGCTATTTTCGCTGAAGCCGTTGTAGAGTCCTCTGACCCTGTTGGCGAATGAGTAGTAGCTGCAGGTGCTGGAATGTGTGCAAGGGCTTATGTAGCTGGTGCATTGCACGTTGTGATACGTAGTTAATGTAGTGTGAACTCATGGGGTGAAAATAGACTTGCCGGTTAAATCAGTGTAAGGCCAAAATTAGTCTGACGGTTTCAGCGTAACAAAGATTTTACCCTGCCTTCGTCAGGGTAATTTTTTTTTTACCCTAGAGGTCATACTGGTCTACACCTACAACCCTGATTACAAAGTGTGCCCCAAAACGAATCTGAAGCCCTGGCGGCAATCACATGGGGATAAGGGATGACTTTCAGCCCAGCCCATTGTAAATCAAATTCCATGTGATACGCAACTTACTGCTACAGTGCTACTGTATCAGACACACATACGGTACACCCCATTCGCCATCCAATCCACTTGCCAAAGCCTTCACTGCTGACTAGCTCACTCAACACACCACTTATGATACAACAAGGTCCACCTCTGGCATTGCGCTTAACCACTCTGGAACGCCTTTCACTCTCTTGCATCCCCCAATCTCCACTTGCCAAAGCCTGGGCAGCTGGCTCATCGACTCGGGCAGCTCGGAAAGTTTTGGCAGCCTCTCCAGCTCTAACCATTCCAGAGATGAAAGTAACCCTACATTGACTGGTAACTTCTCGAGTTTCCCACAGTCCGTTATGCTGAGCTGGGCCAATCTAGAGAGGTGGGGGAACGAGTCAGGCAGGCAGCGCAGCAGGCAGCAGTCGTGCAGGGTAAATTGCTCTAAGTGGGACAGCTGCCCAAAAGAATCGGGCAGGGCAGCAAGACCGGGCAGTCTAGAAAATTTCAGGGTCTGGAGGCCGGACAAGAGGCCAAAGGTTGGGGGGAAGAACGAGAGGCGATCACAGGAGGAGAGAGTGAGGGAGGTGAGTGAGGAGGGAAGGGAGGGTGGTAGTGTGGCGAGGCTGTGGAGTTGAGAGAGGTGGATGGAGGTGAGACGGGGTAACAGGCTGACGGTTGATGGCAGGTGTGTTAGTGATTTGCAGTCCATTATTGAGAGTTCTTCTAACGAGTACATGGCAGCCATGCCATAACGCCCCTTCATATCCTCCACATTTCCCACCTCGCCCACTTCTAACTTTCCCTCTCCCTCCTCCTCCCGTTTCCCCTCCTTTCCCTCCCCTTCCTCCTCGCGCTTCCCCTCCTTTCCCTCCCACTCCCTCTCCCTCTCTCCTTCTCCACCCCCCTCCCCCTCCACCTTTTCTCCTGTCCCTCCTGTGCTTCCTTCCAAGATGGTCTTCAGGGACGCACAGGAATGGATGACAAGGGATTGCAGGGAGGAGAGGCGGTAGAGGTAGGAGGGGAGGGCGGTGAGCAACGGACAATGGCTGATGTGTAAGTGAGTGAGGGAGGGAGCGAGGAGGGAGAGGGATTGGGGGATGGAGGCGACATGCGAGAGGTGTGAGAGAGTGAGGGTGGTGAGGGAAGGGAGCGAAAAGAGGGAGTGAGGGAGATGTGTGATGTGCGTGTTGTCCTTTAAGTCAATGTGAAGCGACAACAATCCTATCATCCCACCGGACCCTTCAAGCCTGTCCGATCCGGCAGCAGCAGCAGCAGCAGCAGCGCCAGTTACCATACCTGTACCCGTTAAAGCCACACCCGTTACATCAGCATTGGGTGGGTTGTGAAATGGGAGGAGGGCGAGATCAGAGAGGCCATGCAGCTTCAAGTGGATGAGAGAGGAGGAGCGAGAGAGGAAGGGAGGGAGGTGGGAGATGCGAGGGCAGTCGGAGACAGAGAGGGAGTGGAGAGAGGGGAGAGGAGAGGGGAATGGAGGAACAGTGTCAGCCTGAATAGTGACATAATAAATAGAATCAGTATGAACAGTGTCATCCCCGTCAAAGAGAGACCCCATTTGGCCGTTACAGTCCAGGATCAGCTCTTGCAGTGACGGCAGGTGCATCCAGGTGCGAGGCAGCGCGGTGAGGCGCGCGCAGAGAGCGACGCGTAGGCTGGTGAGCGATGGCAGCAGGGGGAGGGGCGCCTGAGTGGTGGTGGTGGTGGTGTTGCTGCTGCTGCTGTTGCTGGCGATTCTGTTGCCACTGCCGCCATTCCCCGCACCTGCTTCCCTATCCGCAGCACGAGCGGGCGGCAGCGCCGCAGGCGCGGACGGCAGGCGGGCGAGGGCGCCACAGGCGGAGACATTCAAGGAGCGCAGGGCGGAGAGGGCGGTGAGGGACGCGGGGAGACTCTGCAGCATATCACACGAGGTGATGTCTAGATGATGGAGCGAGTGGGAGAGGAGGTGGAGGGAGGCAGGGAGGGAGGTGATGAGTGGGAGGAAGGAGAGAGTGAGGGAGCGGAGGTGGGGCAGATGACACAGCTCGTCCGGGAGAGTGGAGAGGGCGGGGCAGTTGGAAATGGTGATGTGAGTGAGGGAGGCGGAGAGAGAGGTGAGGGCTTCGGCGGGTAACTCCTGCATCTGCTTCCATCCCAGTAGCTCCAGCCGGGCCAGTCCCGCACTGCTCTCCCCCGCATCCTCCTTACAAGCTGGCTCGATAAAAGGTTCCCCGTTCTCCCCTGCCGTTTTCCGCTTCCTCCGCTGTGCCTGGAGCAGGCGGGGGGGATGCGGAGAGGAGCGCGGGGAGCGGGGTGCGCAGTGAGGGGAGGTAGGCGAGGGTGAGCGCGCGGAGGCGGGGGAAGCGCGCGGGGAGGCAGGCGGGGACGGCGGAAAGCAGGGCGCATTCGCGGAGCTCGAGGGTTTCGAGAAGGGGGAGGGCGGCGGGGAGGGATGCGGGGAGCGCGCGGAGAGCGCGGCAGCGGTCGAGGGAGAGGTGGCGGAGGGCGGAGAGCATGGGGAGGGGAAGCGCGGGGGAGGGAGTGTGCGAGAGGGAGAGAGAGGCGAGCGAAGTAACCAGCGAAGAGTTATCATCGTGAGGCAATATGCTACTAATCTGACGAGCGCCATACTGCGATGCATCTGCTGCATTCTCATCTGAGATGCTCGAATCGTGTGATCGAATGGAAGTTTCTAAAGTTTCGTCGATGTCTGTCGCGAAGCCCGCTGGAAGCTTCTCCAGGGCTTCTGAGTGGATGGACAGACTGACGAGAGCGGAGAGCTGACGGAATCCGTCAGGAAGGTGTTTCAGTCCCCGAGCCGTGATTTTTAACGCCGTCAAGCGAGTCAACCCGCAGATTGACGGAGGAAGAGCAGTCAGATTTGGCGGGCAGTGCAGCTCCAGAGATTCGAGCCGCGCGCAGGAAGAGAGAAGCGACGCGAGCCCGGCTTCAGTGAAGGCGGCGCGATGGTCAGGACGAGATGACGTGGACGCGACGCGCCTGCCGCGAATGGTAACCGGCTCGGCCATGTTGCCGAGATGGAAGTGAGTAAGCGATGGACACGTGGCAGCTAATTGAGAGAGAAGGTGGTCGTTGGCCAATGAGAGGCTGCCATCTGGCAGAACGATCGACGTCAGCGAGGGGAACGAAGCGACGCCCTTCAAGAATCGCCTGGTGCACAACCGTCGCTCAGGCAACAGTGCGACGTGCGAGCGATTTGCACAGGCAACATGGTACCATCGGCGACAGATGAGGGCGTAACTACCGTCAAAATTAGCAGACCCAGGGTTAGAGATCCCGGAAATGTCATGAAAAGAATCGCGCCGTTTGCCGATGGATGGCTGGGAGCGACTAGATGCAGGCTGCGACGGATGGTCGTAGTGCGACTGCTGCTGCGAACATGGCGCCGACGTGTCTCCGCCATGAGCGACGGGCTCAACGTAGCTGAAGATGCGACCGAGTATGTCGTCCGGAAGGCAGTCGACGGGAGAGGAGTCCAGACACAAGAGGTCAGTCAGTGCCGACATTGGCGCAGCGCTTGTGGCATCAACCGCCTGGATCGAGAGATCGGCCATTGCTGATAGTGGTGGGATTAAAGATTGAGCTGGATGGAGTTATCGAGGAGAAATAAGTAAAAAGAACTCTACTCTCTGACGTCCTGTCCTACACTCTACATTAGCAGCATTCCTAAAAGACGCTAGATCTACGAATAGACTACGCAAACAGGCGGGATGGAACAGCATTGGGTGGGACATACTTGGTGCCGAGTGACTGAGGGGTGCGGCGGAAGAGACAGGATGGGACGGGACTGTCAGATCAGAACATCAGATGTTCGCAATTTCGCAGTCATAAGTGGGATCGGCGGGACAGCTAAGTCAAGAATGAAAATAGTGATGGGATGCGCGGTGGTTCGGTGCGTGTTCTGGTCTGTTTCAGAGCGGTTTGATATGGTGGTGTTCGCTGGGATATCAAAGCATTTTCGCAAAAATTCTAGTTACTGTCTGTGTACGACGTCGTGATTCGTCTCACGTACTGACAGTTTTTGAGACCGCGCGTGGGAGCGCGTACTCTCTGACATGGCATGACATCGTCAGAGGAACAAGGCAAATAATCAATTTGTAGCTGCTGTGACTCCAGAACGGAGTCCATCCTCTAACCAGTTACAACTGTGGATGTATGCATTACTGATCTATTTCATGAAATTTCTTAATAATGCAGGGCCTTTCAACCATACTCCCAATAGAAAAGGCAGGATGATGAGAACAAAAATCATCACTTTTAAGCACAGCCCTTGAATTACAAAGAAGCCTTCACAAACTGGGCCAGTTTGTGCCATGCTCCTCTACTGGTTTCGGGAATGAATGGGTTAAGGGCGGTTTCCGAACCTCCAATTCGCTGCTTTCCCAAACCTATTGCATTGACTTCCGTTGAGCAATTCGGGTTTTCCCCTGTAAGGAAATGATTGCATTGGTTAACACGCACACACAAACGCGCACGCACACACATACAATATTCTTGGGTTATATGGAAAAGATAACGAGATGGTGCACAATTGTGGCATGCGTCAGGGCTCTTGCTAGGATTTAAGCCCGTCTGAAAGTATTGTCAAAACATATATGCTTAGTTGTATCTAGGCTGTATGGGGGCTACCGTATTACCCCGGATAGAAGCGTAGAAGCGCAGGTGCGCTTCTAATCGAGTCATGTTTATAAGCGCATGCGCTTGTACTAGGGAAAAAAAATCACTTTTAAACATACCAAATTGAAGCCCGCAATAAGGCGAATTCAACCGACCATACAACATGTGGGATCGTGCATGGTTTCCAGACAAAAACAACAGCAGTTCGTGTGAAAATGAACGAGGAATGAAAAGACTAAGGGAAAGTTGGGTACAAGTACAAACCCTAGAAAGCTGTACCCCATATGTGCTACCCCACTATCGCCTACAGCAGCTAAGTCATATAAATCTGACACACCCCCATAGGCAAAGTGGGGGAGGACAAGGGGTCACAAGACCAGTCAAGCAAAGCAAAGCAAGCTCAGGGTGGATCACAACGTCACCACACATTCCGAGCACAAGTTCAAGGCCACAAGGCCAGTTCACATGCAGGATTACATATATATATAAGGCTAAACAAGCAAGAGCAGGTGTATATATATATGTAACAGTACAAACAGGGTCAAGGGGTGAGCAAGTGAGGCAAGGTAGGCACAAGACCCAGCTGAGTACAGAAGCGCTGATGATCACAAGGCGCAAGTGCCTTGGTGAAGATATCAGCAGTGTTGGCCTGAGAGGCCACGTACGCAAGGCGTAGCTGACCACGCTGCTGTAGCTCACGAGCAAGGAAGTAGCGAAGAGCAATGTGCTTCGTTCTGTGCTCCAGTCTCTGCGCCCGACACAAGGCCAACATGGCCTTGTTGTCTACGTACAGCACTGGAGGAGAACGAGGCGGCTCTCCGAGGTCAGTCAGCAGGTAGGTGAGCCAGCGAAGCTCCTGTGCAGCCATGGCCCTGCGTAGATCTCAGCCTCACAACTGGAGCCGAGAACAGAAGACGAGCGGGTAGCCCGCCACGAGACAGAGCCCGAACCAAGGCTGAAGGTGTAACCCTGTGACGACCGCTGCGTAGCCTGGTTGTCAGCCCAAGAAGCGTCTGCGTGCCCAGTGAGGACCACTGGACTCTGCCCTCCAAGCACAAGCCCCATGCCCGACGTACTGCACAAGTAGCGCAACACCCTCTTCGCTGCAGCCATGTGCTCCGGTCTGTGTCTCCCAGGAGCAACATAGCGTGCGAGAATGCTAAGAGGGTATGCAAGGTCAGGTCGAGTGCAGGTCATCAGGTACATGAGGCAGCCAACAAGCTCTGGGTACGGGCCACTCGACTCTACGGACTCATCCGAAGGCAGAGCTGAGAGCGAGTGGCGAGTAGGCAGAGGAGTGGCCTGAGGCGAGGAGTACGTGAAGCCGAAGCGCTGAAGGACCTGCTGCACCATGTGTGACTGAGTCAGGGTAATGGTGCGGCGTGCTCTGTCCCGGGTGATCTGCAAGCCAAGGTAGCTGCGCAGTTCACCCAGGTCTGTGCACGTGTGTCTCTTCTGCAGCTCGGACTTCACGTGGGCGAGTCCAGCAGTGTCAGCTGTGGCAAAGACCAAGTCGTCGACGTACACGAGGATGTAGAACGGCGGCAAAGAAGTGTCGGTGCGCAGAAACAGCGACGGGTCGGCAGTAGAGGGAGCAAACCCAAGAGTCGCAAGCGTAGTCCTCAGTGTGTCGTGCCACTCACGCGGTGCCTGGCGGAGACCGTAGACTGGCCGCCGGAGGCTCCACTGGGTGCCAGGAGGAAAACTCCCAGTGAAGCCAAGTGGGCGGCGCAGCCAGATCTCCTCGTGCAGGCTGCCCTGCAAGAAAGCAGTGCTGAAGTCAAGAGAGTGTAGCTCGTAGTCACGGTGAGCAGCTATGTGCAGCAGTACCCGAAGAGTGGTCATCTTCGGGGTGGGAGAGAAGGTCTGAAAGTAGTCAACTCCCTGCCGCTGACTGAAGCCACGAGCCACGTAACGCGCCTTGAAGACAGGCGGAGAACCCGGCGGCCGCTTCACCCTGAAAATCCACATGCCACTGACGATGTTCGCCCCAGGCGGGGGAACCTCGTCAACGTAGGTGCCTGTGGACTTCCAGGAAGCCATCTCTGCGTTCATAGCTGCCTGCCACTGAGAGGAGTAGGGACCCTCTATCGCCTCCGCGTAAGAGCGCGGAGTCGGGATGTCAAGTGCATCCGGGTCTCCCTCAGGGGTAAGCAGTACGGACACGAGATGAGGTGAAGCAGCAGCCAAACACTGGAACTCCTCCTGTCTGTCCTCAAGGACGTCCGTGCCAAGGGCACACTCACCCCCGACGGACGGAGGACAGACAGACTCAGACGCAGCAACAAGACTAGCAGCGTAGTCTAGACGACAGCGAGCAGCAAAGTCGACGAGCTCAGCAACTAGGGCAGACGCAGCAGTGGACTCAAAGGAAGGGTCAGTGACAACAGTAGCAAGGAGACGCGTGATAGTCGGACTGGCAGCACGAAGGGAGTCCGACTCTGGGTCAGCAAGAGCAGGAAGAGAGGACTCAGGAGGAGAAGGCAAAGGGGCACGCAGAGGAGCAGTGGACTGACGGAGAGACATCCGGTGCGTGCCGGGCACAGGGGGAGGACGCTGACGCGAACCACGACCACTAGCGCGAGCAGCACGGACAGGCGACGCAGGACGAGACGCAGGCTCACGACGCTCAGCAAGACGTCCAGTAGGACCAGTGTAGGGAGAAGGAGCAGGCAGTGGGGCGGCCGGCTGTAACTGTAACTGTGACGGGACAGGCTGTGGACACTCTAAGGGAGGAGGAGGACCAGTAGAAGGCGGGAGACCAAGAACCTGCTCAAGAAGCGGAACGAAGTACGGCCGAGGCCGCGCAGCGACTCCAGACACAGCAGGGACAGCACCAGTACCCCCAGTGGTAGCACCAGCGCCAGCAGCACCTCCAGCTCCAGTACCCCCAGCAGCTCCAGTAGCTCCAGGACCTCTAGCAGCACCAGTAGCACCCCCAGCAGGACCGCCTCCAGCACCGCCAGCAGTACCCTCAGCGCCAACACCCTC